TGTCTTAATCCACATATTTTTGTATCAGATATTAATACTTAAAATTTGGAAGGAATGTTTCTCTGGACACAGTGTTACACAGGAAACAGACCTTGGAATGTGGTGTAAACCCATAGCAAATAGTAACCCCATACTAAAGAATCAATCATAACAAAATTGTTCTATAGACAGTTCCTGCTGGAGAATCTCTATATTATCACATGTAATATCCTTAAGTACAAAGATAAATGTTATTAGTGGGTGTATATTTGACCAGTTTTTTAACCTGCCAGAGCTCTAGGGGCATTTATTGTGAAGGATATATCACAGTCATGAATTAATTAGTGTTCTTAATGCCAAGAAAAAAAAAAGATGGTGTCAATGAATGCAATGTATAAAATGGTAACTATATGATAAATGGGTCATTCAAAGTTTTTTATTAAATTAAATATATTCATGACAAAAGCCAACACTGCAGTATTGACTGAATAATTTAATCTTGTCATCTTACAGAGTGCATTGCAAAATAATAAATTGTTCAAGCTGAGTAAGTTATTGAATACTTTTAGACTCAAGAGAGTTGTGGGTTTAAAACAGACTCCTGCTACCTCATTCCTCAGCACTGACAGATATTAGAGAATTCATAATAAGCCTGCCATTAGATGCACTCATCTTTTCTTTTTTTATTTCACTGACAGAAAAATATCCATTTTTGGCTGAAATATTATCTTTCGAGAGGCCTAATTTATATAAGAACCAAAATAATTCATTCCAAAAGGTCTTCTCAGACTTTATTTATCAGAAAATATTAAAACTTTCATGACATTTCTTAAATCCTGTTAACTAACGTAATGGTGATGAGAAGATGGCAAACAGCTCAAGATAGATTATCAAAAGGGTGAGAAAAGTGAGTGCAGTTAGATGATTATAAATATCAAGATAAGAATAGGGTTTAAAATGTATTTTGTTTAGTTAAACTAGTGGTTCAATGTCATCTACTAGGAATCCTATGGTGGGGGGGCTAAGCTTTTCTATTCTTTGCTTCATAAATTGGGGCAGGAATGAGACATAAGACATGAGCATGAATGAAAAGAGACATTACCTCAACAATTTCTCATGTTTAGTATACTCCCTTATACCACCCAGAGCATCACAAACATGGGCAAGCCAAGGTGAAATAGGTGAAAAAGTCAGGGAGCCAAAATGCTGGATCCTCTGCCTATTCATTCTATTCCTTCATGAGAAAGATATTCTCTCCTAGTAGTTAAATAGGAGGGGAAAAAATATACCGATGAAGGAACCGTCACAAGGAACCATCCAGTGATGTGTTCTTTGCAGAAGCAGAAAACTATGAGTACAACATGTTTACGTTTTCAAGTTGAGAAACAATGCTTTAAAGCCTATTTATTATCAATCATCCATGTGCAAGCAAAAAAGGAACTAAAATGATAAAGACATACAAAAAGCCTGGAGAAACCAATCTCCCCTCCCTCCTTCCCTTCCTTCCTTCCTTCCTTCCTCTTCTCTTCCACAAATATTTGTTGAACACCTGTTCAGGATATTCTGGATCCTGGAAATAGATTGTTTATCAAGGCTTAAAAGGTTCCAATGTATATTCCAATAAAGGCAAAAAGATAAGTAAACATGTGGGCAAACGAGATACATTTGAATTGTGATATTGCTTATGATGATATTGTTATAATCCAAAGGATAGTTTATCTTTGTCTTTAAATTAGGAGCTCAAACACTTTTTCTCAGTACAAAATGAAAGTATGATTTAGTAAAACTTAATTTTCTGACATAGGAAAATTGTATATGATCTTTACTTTCTCACAAACAATTCCTAAATATAGAATTACCATGTTAAATGTCAAAAAAGTGTCTTTAAAAAGTAAGGACTTTTTGTCTTATTTTAAAACTTTTCATACAATAAACTTTGCTCTTTATATTGTTGAGTTTAACGAAATCATGGAATCATGTATCTACCGCCCCTGCAAGCAGAGCTGTTCTGGAAGCCTCCATATGTCCCCTTTGTGGTCAATCCCTTCCTCTACTCCCAGTGACTGACATTACTGTTGTTTTATGAGCTTATAGTTTTGTCTTCTAGAAGGTTATATTCATGGAACTGTACAGTGTGTCACATTTTGGGCCTGGCTTCTTTCACTTAGCTATATGTATATAGGATTCTTCCATAATGTTATGTGAATCAGTAGCTCACTCTTTTCAATACTGATCAGTGTTTCATCGTATGGATGCACCATTGTTTGTCCATCCATTCCCGTGTTGATGGACATCTGGATTAGGTTCAGTTTTTGTGATTGCAGACAGAGTTATAATAAACATTTTCATACAGGCTTTGTGGGAAAATATGTTCTTAGTGCATTGGGTAAATACGAAAAAATAACTAGAAATAGGATTGCTGGGTCATTAAGTCTATTTTTAACTTGGTGAGAAACTGCCAAATTGTATTTAACATTTCTGTAGCATTTGTCTTTCTCCCAGTAATATGAAGGAGTTCCAGTTGCTCTGTAATATAGTCATCACTTTGTATTGTTAGATTTTTTTTTTAGATACTCAAATAGATGTCTACTGATTTCTCATTTAGGTTTAATTTGTATTTAGCTAACATTTAAGGATTTAGCATTTCATATGCTTCTATAATTTCTTTGTATCTTTTCAGTGAAGTCTCTTTTCAGAATTTGTGCCACATTTGCGGGGGGGGTGGGGCTTTTTTTCATCTTGCCTAGTATTAGAATACCTTATATATTCTGAATACAAGTACTTTATCAGATAATAAGTCATTTGCAAACATTTACCTTAATGTGTTTCTTGTCTTCTCATTTTATGAACAGTGTCCTTTCTGCCTTCTCTTTTGTTAACTGAGTACTTTTTATGATTCAAATTTACCTCTTCTATTCCCTATCATTTATATCATTCTAAAACATTTTAGTCATTCTCTATGTTTACAATATATATCGTTAACTATTTTGAGCCCACATTTACATAATATCATACAACTTTAAGTGTACAATCTAGACCTTAGAAGAGTATATTTCCAATCCCTCCTTCTAATCCTCATGCCATTAATGTCATGTAATTTACCAGTACATACACTATACATGTAATACATTGTACTGTTTGTTTGTATTTAGACAGTCGGTAATATGTTAAAGCAGTTAAAGTAAGAAAAAATGACCTTTATTTCACCTCCATATTTTTTATTTCTACCACTCTTTATGGTTTCTGCCAATACACTTTCTGATTGATATGATATCCCTTCCTCCTGAAGAAATTTTCAATATTTTTTATTAAAGATTTTATTTTATTTTTTTAATTTATTGAGAGAGAGAGTACGCACAAGCAGGGGGAGGGGAAGAGGGAGAAGGAGGGAGAGGATCTCAAATAGACTCTGTGCTAAGGGCCAGAGCCCAAGGTGGGGCTCAATCTCAGGACCCTGAGATCATGACCTGAGCTGAATTCAAGAGTTGGATGCTTAACCGACTGAGCCACCCAGGCACCCCTCAAACTTTCTTGTAAAGAAGGTCTTCTAAGAATTAATTCCCTCTTTTATGTATTAGTCTGAGAAAGCCACTGTTTCTCCTTCAGTTTGAATGGTACCATCCATGTGTATAGAGTTCTGCATTGACAGTTTAATTCTATTTTCTCCAGCTAATGTGATTTTCCACCAGCCTCCTTAGATGACAGACTTTGTTCCTCTTCCCCCCAAAGACAAATTTTTTGTTCTGTTGGGGAAATTGAGTAACCAGTTTGAGGGGGAGTTTATTTTCTGGTTGAGGTGAAAGTTATTTTCTTCTCCCTCCACAGCATCATGAAAAAAAAAATTCAGAATTCTCCTCCATCTTTCTTGTGAGAACCTGGTGTACTTTGTGTGTAAGAAAATCCTGCAAGAACACAGGACCTCCTGTATCTGCAACCCCAGGAGCTCTACTGTCTTAGACTCTCTCACACCCAACCATTCCCAATTCAATCAGAATGTTTAACTTGATCTTTTTATTGGCTTATATGATGTTTGGCCGCTGGATAAGCTTCATGGGCTTGTGACCTATTTAGCCACTAGAGCCTCTCGTTCAGATAGGGCCAGGCATGACTTAATTCTCTCCTGTTGCTGTCTTGAAGTTATTAATACTTTACAAAGATCCCTGAATTTTTGTTTTGCTGTGTCTGGCAATTTATGGCGCTCCATTTGTCTGGCATTAAATGGGTCCATTTAGTCTAAATAGATGCTGTTGGTGTCTCCCCAGATTTCAGGTTATTTGATTGACTTGCATTCCCAATTCTCTGATGAATAAAGAAAAAAAAATCGTTAATTTGTCATTTGTCCAGATTTTTTCTTTTTGTGTGGGTGGGAGCAGAACTCTTTCTAGTTTTCTACATTTCTGAGATGGAACTGAAAGTCCCAACTATTCTTCATTTTTTTTTATTAATTTATTTTATTTTTACTTTATTATGTTATGTTAATCACCATACATTACATCATTAGTTTTTGATGTAGTGTTTGCGTATAACAGCCAGTGCTCCATTCAGTACATTCCCTCTTTAATACCCATCACCAGGCTAACTCATCCCCCCGCCCCAGAACCCTCAGTTTGTTTCTCAGAGTCCATCATCTCTCATGGTTCGTCTCCCCTTCCAATTTCCCGCTCTTCATTTTTACCTTCCTGCTATCTTCTTCTTCTTCTTCTTTTTTTAAACATATAATGTATTATTTGTTTCAGGGGTACAGGTCTGTGATTCATCAGTCTTATACAATTCACAGTGCTCACCATAGCACATACCCTCCCCAATGTCTATCACCCAGCCACCCCATCCCTCCCACCCTCCAAGTATTCTTTAATTCCCTACTTTGATTTTTAATACATGTTAAACTACTTAAGTGATTTTTATTCATATTACTCATCAATTACTTATTAAATATATATTTGAAGAAACAATTTTAATAAATAAGACATATTTTATTTTATTACAGGAATAGAATTCTCATAAGAATAAAGTAGCTTTCAATGAAAATAAAATAATCCTTGTCAGTCATTTTGGTCTTTCATTTAAAAACACATCTTGTTGATCAAGGTACTTCTTTTTGACTTTTGGGAAAGATAGATGCTGCATTAGCTCAGGCTGCTACAGAAAATACCATTTATTTCACACAGTTCTGAGGCTGGGAAGTCCAAGGTCAAGGTGCCAAAGATTCTGTTCTGGGCCATGGGCTCTCTTCCTGGCTTGTGGATCACCATCAGCTCACTGTGTCCTTGCAAGACTCTTGTTTGCGTGCATATGGCAAGAGAGAGAGAGAGTGCTCTGGTCTCTTCCTCTTCTCGTAAGGACACTAATCCCATCATGGGATACCACTCCTCATGAGCTCATCTAAACATAACTTCCTCCCAAATGCCCCATCTTCTAATATCACAGCACTGGGGGCTTAGGTCTTCAATGTATGAATTCTGGGGAAACAGAAACATTCAGTCCATAACAGTTGAATTCCATTTAAGTTGACTAAAGAACCCAGTGTACTGACTTAAACTGAAAGAGTAAATTGGCTGCTGTGAGGGGCCTCAGGAAACCGGAAGAGCAAACTCTAATGAGCAAAATTATATAACATTACACTCCTCAAGAGAATCAAGGACTAAAATATGTAACCAACTAATAAAATTTTATCTATAAATTATTTATATTGATGCACAATGAATGCATATAAATTGCTATCTCTAAATGCTATTGCAAATAGTGTTCTAACCAATGGTTTTATTAGCAACATGATAAATGTTTTAACTATCTTCAGTTCTATAATTCTCTCTGTGTTACTTTCAGCAGTTCAGAAGCTGTTTACAAGTCAGAAGTTGCTTATCTACTCATGCATCATGAGCGAGAGCTAACCTGATTCTGATAACTTTCATCTTTGTTGTTGTTTCTCTTAATAAGACCACTTTGGTTGGTTGCAAATATTAAGGTTCTTACTACAGCAAACAAGCAAACAAACAAAAAAACCAACATTAGTTAAATCAACAAATCAAATTATATGGGAATGGGTTGGAGAATTACCATATATGTGTTCACAGCTATTGAGTGTCCATAAGTGCATAAAATCTTGAGTTGATATGGTACCCTTCTGAACTATTTTCCAGTGAGGCATTAAAAGATCATTTTCATGCACCCATTAAAAAGAGCATCTGCCCTATGTCAAACAAAATAAAAAGGTAGCTGCCTTATGATTTATACATGTGGATTATAATCTGATCCACTCAATATAACCAATTTTTAGATCTTACGTTAAATATGATGTACACTCAGAAAAATACAGAAATCATAATGAATTTTCACAAACTGTATAGTCCTCTGTCATCAAAACTTGTATCAAGACACAGAGAATTATTAACATTATAAAGTACCCTTCTATTCTCTACACCTTGAAGTAAACACTGTCTTAATGCTATGCAGCAAAAATTAGTTTTGTTAATTTTAAACCTTATATAAATGGAATACTGCACTATATGCTCTACTAAGAAATGTAATAGGATTTTAAAAATTGTAAATTTTCTTGTTTCATGATATTAGAATAAAAATCATTTTATTCATTCACTTCTTAAAATTATCCTGAAATGACCAGATCAAGAAACACCATTGCAAATTTATCTTTGAAAAAATTGGAAGATTTATATCACAAAAAGTGGAAACATCCTATATTGCCATGAACAGTGGGATGGAAAATAAATGGTGACTTTTTTTTTTTTAAGAGAGGGACATGGGGGAGGGGCAGAGGGCAAGGGAGAGAGAATCTTAAGCAGGCTCCACGCCCAGTGCAGAGCCAGGGTCAGGGCTGGATCTCACAACTTTGAGACCTCAGCTTAAATCAAGAGTCAGACACTTAACGGAGTGAGCCACCCAGGCACCCCAAATAGTGACTTTTTTATACAAAGAAATGCAATAAAGCTTTGAAACAAAATTAACTTCTGCTACATGCTTCAACATGAAAGAATCCTACAAACATAATGTCTAGCAGAAGAAGCTAGACACGTGATGAGAATCTACCTATATACAGCCCACAAATGCACAAAAATATTCAATATCAGTAGAAGTCTAATCATAGTAATTGTGGTGGTAAACCCTGGGAGGCATGTGGGAAACCTCTGAGATGTTACTAAGCATCTATTTCTTTTCTTTTTTCTTTTTTTTTTTACATAGAAAAGCAATTTATTCCATTATAAGCACTTACACAGTTAGTCACGGAGAGTAACAGGCCTGCTGATGAAACATGTCACCCAAAATGGAGATGGTACCAAACTAGTGGTCAAAGACTACCTCCTAAAAAAAAAAAAAAAAGCAACTCTTATCCAGGATTAATTTAATTTTAAAAACAAATACAAGCTATCAATTCACTCTTCTCAACTCAACTGGACAGTCTACCTGTGGTATAACTGTCAGGTAAAAACATTCATCTTTACAACTTGGTGGTCCCAAGTTTTTTAAAAAAACATTTCACAGAAAGGAAAGAAATATGAAAACAGCTCAAGAAATACACTAAGAAGCAAAAATATATGGGGGAAAGAGGAACACATAGTTTTGACTTAACTGAAGAAACTGAGAGGAGACTGGTCTACATAGGAAAATGTGCATCCTGGAAAGTCAGGTGTGAAAATTTTAGAAAAGGAATTTAAATGACTTAAAACTCCCCCATTTCCTGAATAAAAATGACATCTTGTGGTATTTATACTTTTATACTTCATGGCTCAGACACCTACCTCACTTGGCTCTACTCCTTCCTTACTTTAGCCTTTACTTAAAGGAGTCTGAAAAACTTGGGGATATA